CAGTTACAGAGAGAGGATGAGAGCGAGAGAGAGAGATCTTCCATCCACCTAATCCTCAAATGGCTGCAATAGCCTGGGCTGGACCAAGCCAATGCCAGGAACCAAGATCTCCATCTAGAACTTCCACAGGGGTGGCAGGGGCCCAAGCACTTGGACCATCTTCCTCTGCTTTCCCAGGCACATTAGCAGGGTGCTAGATTGGAAGTGGAACAGCAAGGACAATGCTGGCCCTTGTATAAACTTTTGAAAAGGGTTAAAGTTCTGCAGAGCTTGCAGGCTCAAATCCTATCTGGGTTTTGGTTTGTTTTTGTACACAAAGAAAATTGAAAAGCACTTTGCTTGAACAACTGACTTGCAAATATTGTCAGGCCTGAAGGATATGTCACTAACTCAGCACTCAGGCTGGGAGACCCCATTCTTTATACCATGGCATTCAGTTCTGGAGGGGTGGTCCCTTGATTCTAATTCCAGATTCGTTACTCAGGCTGTGTAATTGACCTGTGGGAAGTCTGTGGGGGCAGAAATGGCTCTTCAGTTCACAGTGTGCTTTGAGTTTATTACCACTGCAGCAGTTCTGCATGGCAACCGACCCCTGAAGAAAACAATTTCAGCTCTGGGTGATTTTTTTTAAGTTTCATTTAATTGAAAGGCACAGAGAGAGGAGGAGGGCAATCTTCCATCCGCTGGTTCATTTCTCAAATAGTCAGTGCTGGGCCAGGCCTAATCCAAGAACTAGGACCCAGGAGCTCCACCCAGACCCCCCATGCAGATGACAGGAACCCGATTCTTTGGGCCATCATCTGATGCATTCCTAGGCATGTTAGCAGGAAGCTGGATCAAAAGCAGGGGAAGCACACTCCAGTATGGATGCCAGCCACCTTGCAAGCAGTGACTTAACCTGTTGCACCACAATACCTACCTGCACTCTAGGGGAATTTTATCCATAAAAGTTACCCATGAAAATTAAAAGCTACTATTTGCATAATTTCTTTTTTTTATTTATTTATTTATTTTTTATTTTTTGACAGGCAGAGTGGACAGTGAGAGAGAGAGACAGAGAGAAAGGTCTTCCTTTGCCGTTGGTTCACCCTCCAATGGCCGCCGCGGCCGGCGCGCTGCGGCCGGCGCACCGTGCTGATCCGATGGCAGGAGCCAGGTGCTTTTCCTGGTCTCCCATGGGGTGCAGGGCCCAAGCACTTGGGCCATCCTCCACTGCACTCCCTGGCCACAGCAGAGAGCTGGCCTGGAAGAGGGGCAACCGGGACAGAATCCGGCGCCCCGACCGGGACTAGAACCCGGTGTGCTGGCGCCGCTAGGCGGAGGATTAGCCTAGTGAGCCTCAGCGCTGGCCTATTTGCATAATTTCTACTCCCTCCCCCACCTTCAGGTGGGAACTTTATAGTTGTAAACAATTGGTAAGCAGAGATTTTGTTTGTCTAAGAGTGTTTTAGAAGGTCCTTCCAGAGGGTCTGAGTGTTAGAGAGCCCCTTGTGACCAAAACAAGATTTGGAGGCCGGCAGCATTTCTGAAGAGCTTATCAGGTTCTCAGGCCCACTCAGACTCTTCAGAATCTGCATTTAAAGGAAAAGATTTAATTATTTGAAATGCAGAGTGACAGAGTGAGGAACACACATGCAGAAAGAGATCTTCTGTCTTCTGATTCACTCCCAAATGGCTACAAAGGCCAGGGCTGGGCCAGACTGGAGCCAGGAATCTGAAATTCCATCTAAGTCTCCAGCGTGGGTGCAGGGCTAGCTTCGGCTGCCTTCCAAAGTACATTAACAAGGAGCTGGATCAGAAGTGGAGTAGCCAGGATTCAATCCAGCACTTACGTATGGGATGCCAGCATTGGTAGCTTAACCTTCCACAGTGCTGACCTCAGAATCAGCATTTTAACAGGATCCCCAGGGCATTTGCACATCCATTAGACAAGCACTGGGAAGCAGTGGCTTAATTAATCCCTGGATTCTGTGTAGTAAACCACTCCCTTGGATTGTCCTGCCCTCTTAAATAATGCTATGACTCCTTAATGGGGTGGCCTAACTTGGGCTCCCTCATTATGGTAGCGGCAACTCTCCCCTCTTTTTTTTTTTTGGAATACAGGTTTATTTATTTACTTATTTGAAAAGCAGAAAGAGGAGAAATAGAGGTCTTCCATCCCCTGGTTCACTCCCCAAATGGCTACAGCAGCCAGGGCTGTGCCAGACCAAAGCCAGGAACTAAGAATTTCATCCAGGTCTCCCACATGGGTGACAGGGACCCAGGTACTTGGGCCATCTGCTGCTGGTTTCCAAGGCATATTAACAGGGAGCTGTATTGGAAGTAGGGGCTGGGACTCAAACATGGGCCTATGTGGGATGCCTGTCACAGGTGGCAGCTTTACTTCCTATGCGACAGTGCTGGTCCCAGTTGACTTTTACTTAAAAGTGAATATCAGGTAAGTTTGATTTTTAGAACTACATATTTTTTAAAAAGGTGTTTTGAGAAGCTTGGTGACACAGAGTAGTCCCATTTGATGGTTCACTCTTCTTCTTCACAGCTGGGACTGGGCTAGACTGAAGCCAGGAGCTCAAAATTCAGTTCAAGTTTTCCAAGTGAGTGGCAGGGACCCAACTACTTGAGCTGTCTCCTGCTGCCGCCTAGTGTGTGCATTATCAGGAAGCTGGAATTGGGAGTGAAGCGAGGCCTTGATCCCAGGCCCTCTGATATGGGTTGCAGGTGCTGAACCAATAGCTTAATGGCTAGGCCAAACAACATAGCCTAAATTTGATTGATTGAAGGCAGTACACATCACTGGAGTCTGGCTGTGTTCTTGCCTGAATATAGTGATCATGGGGCCAGCGCTGTGGCATAGTGGGTAAAGCTGCCCCCTGCAGTGCTGGCATTCCCATATGGGAGCAAGTTCAAGTCCTGGCTGGTCCACTTCTGATCCAGCTCTCTGCTATGGCCTGGGAAAGCAGTGGAAGATAGCTCAACCTGGAAGAAGCTCCTGGCTTCTGGCTTCAGATCAACGCAGCTCTGGCTGTTGTGGCCATTTGGGGAGAAAACCAGAAGACCTCTCTCTCTCTCTGCCTCTGCCTCTCTGTAACTCTGCCTTTCAAATAAATAATCTTTTTAAAAATTTAAAGAAAAGATAATGATCGTGAGTTGACTGCTCAGTGTCTGTCCCTGAGTTCATGCAGGAAACAGAATAATTCCAGAGGCTGGTTGAAGTGGACCGTTCCACAGCCAGCCCAGGTGGGAGCCCCTTCTAAGCCAACAGGTCACGTCTTTTTAGCTTTGAATGAAGAAGTCAGGAAGCTTCAGGGAGCTGCTCCTTACATAAAAGCTGCCTTCTAGTCCCAAAGGCAGGGTCTGGTTGCCAGAAAAACAAATGACCGCCTGGCCCATGTGTCAGCTGCCCCTGCTGCTAGAGGGACGGCTTGTGCCTTCCCGTTCTCACCCCGTGTGTCCAGTTGACAGAATCCAAATCACCTGCAGCGTGCAGACCCTGAACTTCATCCCTTGCCACAGGGAAAGCCTGGAAGGAGGTGGGAATGGGCGCTGGATGACAGGGTCCAACACAGCATCACACCAATGGCGGGAACTTCCCTTTTCACACAGCTTGCCTGTTGTTGTACAGTCAGTTGTGGTTTTCTTATATTTAAATTTTATTTTATCTGAGAGGCAGAGAGAGGCCTCCATCTGCTCCTTCCCTCTACCAAATAACCAGAAACTGGGAATCCAGTCCAGGTGGCAGGGGCTCAGGTACCAGAGCCATCACAAGCTGCCTCCTGTGCTGCACAGTGGCAGGAAGAGGAATCTGGAGCAGGGCTGAGATTCAAGCCAGGCCCTCCTGTACAGGGTGCAGCATGCTTCCCAAGCAGCAACTTGATCTCTGCACCCAATACCCACCCTTTACCGTCATTTTGGATGTTTCCCTCCTATAAACACTGTCAGGTCACCAAGATACAAGGCCAGTTTTATACATATGGAAAGGGCAAGAGGTTTGGCAACTTGCCCAGGTCAAAGAAGTGAGGAGGCATTTCAGCAGATCATATTGGCCCCTACACAGTGCTCTGCCCTCTGCACCACCCTGTTCTCTGTAGCACTTTTAACCGAGCAACATGGCACCAGGGGGCACTTTCCAGGGGACCCCAAACCAGAAACGGCACCTTCAGGAGGGGTGGTTGTAGTATTTCTGGGGCCAGTGCACAGAAGGTTGCGTTCCTGGGACAAGGTATTTTCACATTCAATAGGCTGTTCTCAACTAAGGAAATAAAATTATTAAAGAATTAGGCAACTTTAAAAAAATACATTTATTTGAAAGGCAGAGTTACAGGGACAGAAGGACAAAAAGGGAGAGGGACATCTTCCTCTTGTTGGTTCACTTCCCAAATGGTTACAATGGCCAGGGCTAGGCCAGGTCAAAGCATGGAGCCTGGAACTCTGTTCAGTTCTCCCATGTGGGTGGCAGGGGCCCAAGCCCTTATCTTCCACTGCTTTCCCAGGCCAATAACTGGAAGCTTGATTGGAAGTAGAGCCACCAGCACTCAAACTTGTGCTAATGTGGAATGCTAGCATTTTAGGCAGGTCAATGCCTATCCAAGAATTGGGCAATTTTTGTAGGAATTTTTTTTTTTAAAGATTTCATTTATTTATTTGACAGGTAGAGTTATAGACAGAGAGAGACAGAGAGAAAAGTCTTCCTTCCATTGGTTCACTCCCCAAATGGCCACAATGGCCGGAGCTATGCCGATTCAAAGCCAGGAGCCAGGTGCTTCCTCCTGGTCTTCCATGCGGGTACAGGGGCCCAAGCACTTGGGCCATCCTCCACTGCCTTCCCGGGCCACAGAGGAGCAACCGGAACTAGAACTGGCGCCCATATGGGATGCTGGCACCACAAGCGAAGGATTAACCTAGTGTGCCACGGTGCCATCCCCTTTCGTAGGAATTTTAAAGTATGATTTCAGCTCAGTGCGTTCCTTCTTCCACCCCCTCTTTTTTTTTTTTTTCTTAAGCAGATGAAAAACCCAGAGAACCGCCACCCCGTGAGTTCGCAGTACAGGATGCATTCTTACTACCCACCTCCTTCTTACCTGGGCCAGAGTGTTTCGCAGATCTTCACATTTGAGGACGGCCCATCGTACTCGGAAACCAAAGCAAGTGGTAGGTGTCTGGGTTTGGGGTGGACAGAAGCTGTGCATCAGTGGGGAGCTGTTGGGAAGTTTATAGCTGGCTGAAAGAAGCATCCTTTAAAGCCTGTAGTTATGGAATGACTTGGCTGACTTACTACTCTGTGGATACCTGGAGTGACAACAATAAGGTGAGAGGCTTCCATTCAAAAACTGAAAGTGCGTTTTCTAGAGGATCAAGGTGAAATGCAGGGTCATTTCTGATGCGGCTGAAGCTGTGTTATTTTTTGTGATGTGAGTTTCTATATATGGAGGACTTGTTTCCTAAAGTTTCTCATTTTGAAACTGAAGATGTATTCATCTTTTGGGTAGAGGGAGAATACAATAACATAATAAACATTTTTTAATACAATGGATCTCAGAGTTTATGCAGTCACAGTGTAAATAACTGATATTATGGCTTTAAAATAAAAAATGACTGTTTAATGAACCAAAGCCCTTTGAAATACACAATTCCTCAACTTCAATTTTAACCTTCTCCCCAGCATTTACCGTGTGATGATAGGCATGACTGCTGTGTTTCTAGATCCTGTTTTTTAAATTCTTTACAGGTAGGCATCACCTTTTGATCTAGGAGAGTGAGGAGTATATACAACCACAGTAGAAGGTAGAAATCAAGGCAGGATGAAGTGACTTGGAAGAGAAACTGATCTGCTAACACTTGGGCCTGCACTACATAAAGAGAAGTTTGTTTTCTAAACAAATTGTGTAGTGAACTGGGTTCTTTTTTTTTTTTTTTTTTAAGATTTATTTGAAATGCAGAGTGAAAAAGAGAGAAACAGATTTTCCATTTGCTGGTTCATTCCCCAAATTGCTGCAGCTGGGCCAGGCCAAAGCCAGGAACCCAAAGCTCCATCTAGGATTCACACATGGGTGACAGTGGCCTTAGTAATTGGGCCATCTTTGCTGCTTTTCTATGTGCATTAGAAAGGACCTGGGTCAGAAATGGAGCAGCCAGGATGGGAACCTGTGCTCTGGTAGGGGATGCCAGTGTTGCAGGCCATGGCCTAACCCACTGCCCTACAATGCCACCCTGAACTAGTTTCTTTGTATAGGAAATGTTTAAAGGATGAGAATAAGGATCATGCTTTGATTTTCAAATTCAGAACAATAAACTAGTAAAAAGCTCTGAAAGTTATGCATTGTTCACTTTTATAAAATAAATAAAAGCTTCCATTAGTAAGGAATCTAGGAGTCAGAGGAACGTATCAGTTTGCCATAGATTGAAATATATATTGTTGGCTACACTTTCACTTTTATTAATAATCACCTCCTTTGGGAGTGGACACACACCTCTGTTTTATAAACATTCATGCTTTATGATAAATACCCATGTGATCTTTCTTACTACCTTTGATCCTATGTATTTTTCTGGATTATAAGCTTCATAAGGAGAGAGCACATCTCCTATACCTTTTTATCTGCTGCTGTCCTATTGGTTGGTAGAGTCAATGAATGAATAAATGAATCCCAGATTATCTTTCACTTGAAAGGTCAGAATCCCAACTCGTGATTGTTACCCTGATGGAGCCAGGGCATGGACTGGGGATGAATCATTAGCAGACACATTTGCTCATTCAAAAAATTAGGAAAGAAGGCCATTTCTAGGGAGAAATTGCCTGAGCTTCTTACTCCAGGAATAATGGAATATTTTTAGAAGCACTGGCATTCTTGAGACGAAGATATAAATTCAGAGCAAGACTAAGACAAAAATATAAGAGAAAATTTATTAGAGCAGAGAGGAACAGATTTGGAGAGGAGCTGGAGGTGTTTAAATTTATGGCAGAAAAGGAAGCAACTCAGATGGAAAGAGGTTACAGTCCAGGAAAGAAAAGACCAGCTGTACCAGTGTTGATAGGAACAAAATCTGGGATGTCTTTAAACCTACTGGGCGATGTGTACATTTGAAATTGGGGTTCTAACTCATTCATAAATGATCAGGAGGCTCAAGCTCCAGAAATGAGGGAGTTAGACAGGTAGAACTACAGTGAACTCTCAGTTCTATTATAATAGGTAGTGAATATGAATTAATAGAAAATCCAAATCCTAGCTCATTTTTGGAAGAAATGTGACTTTATGACTTCTAATATGTGCCATGTTGCAGCTTCTGTGGTTCATGAAATGTTTAAGAAGACCCGGGGGCCTGTGCTGCGGCTCACTAGGCTAATCTTCCGCCTGCGGCGCTGGCACCCCAGGTTCTAGTCCCAGTTGGGGCCCGGATTCTGTCTCGGTTGCTCCTCTTCCAGGCCAGCTCTCTGCTGTGGCCCAGGGAAGGCAGTGGAGGATGGCCCAAGTGCTTGGGCCATGTACCCGCATGGGAGACCAGGAGGAAGCACTTGGCTCCTGGCTTCAGATTGGCGCAGTGCGCTGGCTGTAGCAGCCATTTGCGGGGGGGTGAACCAACAGAAGGAAGACCTTTGTCTCTGTCTCTCTCTCACTGTCTAATTCTGCCTGTCAAAAAAAAAAAAAAAAAAAAAAAGACCTGGGAAAGGAGAGGGGAGATTGTGTTCAGGAACAAGGAGATGGCACCGGTCCTTCTGGGGACATGAGAGCCTGAGTTTTATCATCAGCTTTGGCACAGAAGGGAGCATGTTAGGGTATAGGTGGGCCCTCTGGCAATAGGGCTGAGGCTAGGGCAGGATGAGGTGGATGGGGATGGGGACATCAGTATATTTGTTTTTGAGGAGTTGGCAAAGGCCAGCTGATAACCAGTTCCATTCAGTAGTTCTATCAAGGTAAGTTGACAGTTTTTGGGTTGCTTGCTTGCTTTCATGAGTAAGTTACGATTTCTTTTTTTTTTTTTTTAATATTTTATTTATTTATTTGAGAGGTAGAGTTACAGACAGTGAGAGGGAGAAACAGAGAGAAAGGTCTTCCGTCCTTTGGTTCACTCCCCAGTGGCCACACGGCTGGAGCTGCACCGATCTGAAGCCAGGAGCCAGCTGCTTCTTCCCGGTCTCCCTTATGGGTGCAGGGGCCCAAGGACTTGGGCATCTTCTGCTGCTTTCCCAGGCCAAAGCAGAGAGCTGGACTGGAAAAGAAGCAACTGGGACTAGAACCTGGTGCCCATATGGGATGCCGGCGCCACAGGCAGAGGATTAACCTACTATGCCACAGCGCCAGCCCCCCCCCCCTTTAAGATTTTATTTATTTATTTGAGAGGTAGAGTTACAGATAGTGAGAGGGAGAAACAGAGAGAAGGAGTTACGATTTCTAAAAAGCATGTCAGTTACTCTAAGTGGAGACTTCCAAACTGAAAAAGTTTTCAGAAGGTTTAATGTTTTATTCAGTCTCACTTACATATAAATTTGTTCATTAAATTCATGTTTCTCAGTTTCTGTAAAGATAATCTTGGCCTTATCATCTAAAGAACTGAGTCCAAATAGTTCACAGGGATGGTGGGTTTGGGTCCTGTAAGATGTTGTAAGCCATTGCAACACTTGGTGTTTATTTCTAGTGAAATGGGGAGCCATGGGAGGGTTTTGAGCAAAGTGGTGTGCCTGGTGATTTTTAAATAGCACTCTTATTACTGTTTTAAGAACAGACTGTAGGGATGCAAAGGGAGAAGCAGGGAAATGAGTTTGACTAAGGCTATGGCTGTAATTCTGGCAAAAGAGGGTAGTGGCTTAGTCAGCATGCAGGCATGGTGGTGGTGACTAATGGTGAAAATTGGTTGTGTCTAGAAGATGGAACCAGCAAGATTTGCTGATGGATTTGGGATATGACAGAGAAAGAGAGAAGGGTTAAAGGATGACTGCACATTTTTTGAGCTGACCAAGTAGGAGATCAGAGTTTCCACTTACTGGGGGTAAAGAAGACCATGGGAAAATAAGGGTTTGTGAGAATTAGGAGATTAGTTTTGCATATGTAAAGTCTGAGATGTTTATGAGCCATCCTAGTGAACAGCCAAGTGGGAATTAGATATATGAATCTGAGGGGAAATATCCCTGCTAGAGATGGGAATTTGGAAGTTCATTGCATAGATTTTATTTGAAGATGGAGTGGGACGGAACTGCCAAGAGAAATGAATGTAGATGGAGAATAAAGACCAAGGACTGATCAGGCCTTGGGACCCTCCAGTGGTCAGAGCTCTAATAGACAGGGAGCAACAGGGATGCTCCCAGCAACAGGGAGCAATGATGAGCAGTCCATGAGAGAGGAGTGAAGCTGCAGGTGTGTGGCATCTTGGAAGCCAAGGACAACTATTTCAATAATTAGAGCCAAATAATACTGATGGGTTCAGTGATATAAGGGCTGGGGTTGACCATTGGTTGTTGACAGGAGGAAATGACCAATGACCTTGCTGAGTGGCCACTTGAATGGGGCAGTGGGAACCAGAGCCTGACTGTATTCAGGAGTGGGAGAGAGGGATTGGGCAGTGAGTATGGACAGCTCTTCCAGGAGCTTTGCTGTAAGACAGTACAGAAGCAGGGCAGGAACTGGAGGGGACGAGTTCAAGGAGGAGCAGTGCTCTTTTGTTACAGGGAGAGATGGCTTCTTAGGGCTCCATGTGCAGCAGTCCAGTAGGGGGAATTGTGCTGGCGCAGGGTGTGCGTGGGGGCACACTTGCCGTAGCTTTGACCCTGAGAAGCAGCACAGCTTGAGATCAGGGCTGCATCTCTAGAGCAGGGCTGTGTGGTGGTGTGAGTTTGTCCAGGAGAAGCGCCCAGGAAAGGAATGAGAGGAATCAGAGACCACCTTGCAGTTTGATAGACTTATTTTATGTCTGTTGAGTCTAATAGAAGTTAGGGCTTGTGGATTCTTGTCTTTTGTTTTCTAGTAATTTCTTTTTTTATTGAAGGAAAATCCACTTAACACAAAAATTAACCATTATAGTTTTAGTACACTTAAATTGCTGGGCAATTGTCCCTTTATCTAGTTCCTAACATTTTCATCACCCCACAAAATAACAACAAACCCATGCCCAATAAGTAGTTACTCCCCATTCTCTGTTCCCTGAGCCGTAATCCGCTG